CTTGAAGATAATACACCCTTTTTGAAACATCCCGTACTGTATCCCATAGTCTATACCTATAAAAAGCTCGACAGGTAGCTCATTCTACAACCTGCTCGTTCGCGGGAGGAAACTCCTTTGAAACCGCACTGTAAGTGACAATTTGGGTTCTAGCATATGTGAATGAATTCCCTTATTAGGTTTGGGTTTCTACGTTAATAATATGAAAGGAATATAAATGTGGGGAACATTTCATATTTACATTATATTTACATCTCTAGCCTTTGTTCTTATTAAACTGCCGGGTCATGGCTGGATTACTAATTAATTTGGCTTATTATGAACTGTCAATTAAATAAAGCCCTGAGGGTTAATAATCTACTTTACGTGGATCACATTAAGCTTCAATTTTTTTTTTTTATTTTATTTATGGAAAATGATAACCGTCGCCTGTAAACATGAACGGCAGTAGTACGAGTACTATAGACATAACAAAGTATACTTTTTCGCCCATAATACCTCCATGCGTTGCCATTCCTGAGGATTCAGATGTAATTCCTCTGTACCCTGTAAATTACCCTTCAAAAGAAAAGCCAAACACAACTGTTCCATTGTAGAAACACGAAAGGGACAGAAGTACCCAAACAAACGACTTTTGAACAGTCTCCCTCTAATAAATAGTTTTGTAGATAATAGTAAAAAAATTTAATTAAAACAAATATGTGAATGTTCGTATTACGAGTAATAGAAAACAAAACAATAGTGTTTAGAAATTTTGTCTGTCTGTCTCTCTGTATGTTTGTTCCGGCTAAAACACGAATGGGACAGAAGTACCCAAACAAACGACTTTTGAACAGTCTCCCTCTGATAGATAGTTTTGTAGATAATAGTAAAAAAAATTGAATTAAAACAAATATGTGAATGGTCGTATTACGAGTAATAGAAAACAAAACAATAGTGTTTAGAAATTTTGTCTGTCTGTCTCTCTGTATGTTTGTTCCGGCTAAAACACGAATGGGACAGAGGTACCAAAACACACGACTTTCGTACATAATCTCCCTCTGATAAAATAACGCTCATAATATAGCAAGCATGTTTATATTAGCTAAGTTTACGAATTGAATTATAATTATGAAAAATTTTGTATCAGCCGCTGGTGAAACTCTCCCAAAGCCTTAACATTACGCCTTCAGCGCGGAATACGGTTCGATTCGCATTACGGTCCCTTTCATATAACAAGATGATACTCGTAAGTCGCCCGCGCTCGCTTACAAACAAGTTTGTAAACTCCTACGTGAACCGTACCGTTTACGGGATGGCCTATTCCGTGACGCGTTTCCTTCATCCTATAACTTTGGATCCCTTAAACGTATTGTGAATAAGCACTTACTGGGCCGTCATATTGCGGTGTCTTTGAAACTAGAACATTATCTGTTCGGTTCGCATTCCTGGACCTGTTCACATTTTGTCCCTGTATACGATCGAGGTCGTGTGATCACGATCGTGCTTCATAAAAGCTTTACAAATCCGTTAATATTACATCTTCAGTAGAAGACGCCCATTAAACTCAGCTAGATATAAGTAATTCCTTTTAACAATAAAGTATATTTTAACAATTTACAATTAAAGGGGGGAAAGGGATTGTTAGCAATGGAGTTTGACAGGCCCATTGCTAGCAATATGCCTTATAAGGTCGACCTCCACGTGGTTCCCCCTGGAAATCATCGTGAACAATTCTTGTTGAATTCGTCACGATGGGCTAACTGACCTACTTCATCCTCATCTATCATTCTTCACTGGTGCCCCGCCGGTGTATACCGATAGCGCGGGTGGGGTTACCATTCCATTATCATCCAATAAAAAAAAATTACAATTAAAAATGAAGGTCACATCTTTCTATATTTTTATAGAGCGCTAGTCAAAGGGACTATATCCCATCTTAGCGGGTAATGTAGTTCAAAAAAAAAAGTTTCTATCATACAATTTATACCTAGTTGGCGATCGTCATCTTGACGTACATTTACAGACTGCAAATGTACTTCTTCACGACTTGCTTAAATGCTGAGAGATTATAGGTAGAAATAGCCGTGGCCGGTAAGACAATTCCAAAATTTAACAAACTGACAGAAATTCACGAAAATTGTAATGTTATACTTGTGACAAATATAGATATATATATGACAAAAAATTAAATATACCATTTTGGCATTAAAACCAAAAAAAAGGAACGGCTGTAATTATAATACTTTTTTTTTATATTTAAAGCACATGTCTAGTGTATGAAAAAAAATATCCCAGCTTTGACCTTGGTCTTAATAAGGAAAATTGGGTTTATATTTTTCTATTTCAAAGTACTAACTCTACAAAACATTACCCGGAGTTACGTAATCCTCATGAATATTAATTAATTAAACGGGTAATACATTTGTAGGCTTGGTTTTAGAGCTGCTTTATTACTTTATTTAGCCATGTGATACCTATCATAAGTTTGTGAAAGGCCGTTTTTAGAATTATATTTTTTTCAACTTATTATAGCAAACAAGTTGGAAAGTGTTATCCGTCGCCTATAGACATGAACGGAATCACAGACACCACATAATACTATGGTGTCCGAGTTACGAGCACTTCCCAATCGTTGCCGTCCTTAAGGACTTTAATGTTATAACTCCATATTATACAATTCCACAGCTAAATCTCTTCAATCCAAAATATAGTGAATACGATCCCAATAAAGCAACCGAACGAAAATACATACACAAAAATAAATAAATACAGGTACTCAAACAAATAAATTTGTACAAACAAATATTCATTATGGTATGAAGTATTGTGTGAGTTTATGAAGGACAAAATCAAGCAAATCACTACATATAATGCAATATGCCACAGCATATTGAATGCGGCAGACAGAGATAGTTTCCAGTTCTTTCTAATTTGATTTCACGCTGTACCATCTGCTTGTTGATATTGAATTTTCTAGTCCGACAGCCGATTTATTTAGTTGGTGATTGCCACGCCATATAAAAATCGACAATATATATATACCTATATATATACTAGGTGTCACAGCGTATAGGGAGGTCAAAGATATAGCCTGAAATAGAGCTGGCCAAAAGAGAATTCATGAATTACCAGTAGTTGCCCCGACAAGAGGAAACTCTTAAATAAAATAAAAAGATCGTGGTTGAGGCTAGAAACATTGACAAGGAGTTTAATAAAATTTTGTAAATGTGAATTGTTTGTCCCAATTTGAAAGATAGGATAGGATAAGTTATTACCATCAGCATATTTCTCATAATACTATTACAACTGTACTATATTACAATTGTTACTTAGTATACATTGACGCTTATCTGTGAGAGCTGTATACACCTTTAATTGATGTGTTCATATGGACTTAATAATAATAATAATTTATTTATTTGCTCGAAATGCGGTAATAATAATGGTCTTAAATATTATTGAGCTACACATTTCGCCTTATCTAAAGGCATGCAAAAGGTAGCAGAACTAAACAAATACAAACTAAACAAAAACAAATACATAACAAGTCAAAAACATAACAAATGGCATACAATACAACTTAATTATACATTTACAAACATACATTTAATTTAAAAAAAAAGTCATTTATTGAATAAAAATTGCATTCCAGTAACCATTTTTTAACCGTAATTTAAAGTGACTTACTGGTATTTCTCTTATTGATTTTGGTATTTTATTATATACTTAAGCTTGGTAGTGAGGAGTGAGATGTTTTTGTTCAAGTAAACTTAGATTTAAGCATTTTTTATACAACAATATTTATGATAAATATAAGATAATAATTTTCTAGCTATTTTAAGCTGAGTTCGCTCATTTAAAGAATTTAAAGTTAGAAAAATTTAAAATTTAAAGTAACTATATACATAGAGTATAAATATATAATTATATTCGTCGACGCCTCTCTGTAGGGTAAAGGGATTATTAGTAATGGGATCTTAAAGCCCCATTTCCTGTAATATACCCTATCAGGTAAATATCCATGCGGTTTCCACTGGAAACCGTTGTGATGAATTCTTATAGCACTTATCATGACGGGACTGACCTACTTTCATCCTCACCTATCATTTTTCATTGGTGCCCCGCCAATGCTTGCCGAAAGCGCAAATGAGATAACGCCTCTCTGTAAGTCTGTACAGTAAGTAATCGAGTCTTGGTGTTACAAACTACACGAAATTTAAAAGTAGAAAATATTTTTGAACTTGTACCCCTTACATATGTGGCCAACAATTCTTGACCAACTTGTTGACGTGACTGAATTATTTATTAACTAATGAATTTTTAATTAACTAATGAAATTCCACAAACAAACAAACTAACAAACCAGAGGGAGACTTTGTACAAAAGTCGAATGCTTGGGTACCTCTGTTCCATTCGTGTTTCAACCGTGAAGCAGTTGTGTTTGCATGGCTGTGTTTCAGTTTGAAGGGTGGGATATGGCGTGAATCTACAGGGTACAGAGGAATAACACCTAAGTACTCAGGAATGGCAACGCATGGGGGGTATCATGGGCGAAACAGTATACTCTGTTATGTCCATGGTACTGCTCATGTCTATAGGCGACAGTTGCTACTTTCCATCAGGTGGGCCGTCAGCTTGTTTGCCATTCTAAGTAGTATATAAAAAAAAACTTTTTATAATACTTTATTTAATACTCGTAGAGGTTACTAAAATACTTTAAACAAATATGTACTTTGTTAATTTTCAAATTTCGTATAATTTATCCTAATTTAAATATCAATATCGGGACTTAACACGACACTATTAAAGGTAAAGAGTATAATAATATAATCATAATAACATAACTGATTTTAATCTAAAGTTGTTTGCATGGCTGTGTTTCGGTTTGGAGGTATGCTCATGTCTATAGGCGACGGTTACCACTTTGCCGTCTATTTGTTTGCCATTCTAGGTTTTATAAAAAAAAAAAGCTGTCGAGTTAAGTCCCGATCATGAATTTAAAACAAATATGTACTTACTGGGTAGCGGCGAGTGTTTCTTCGTGGACATGATTTGGTTCAGCTCATGTCAGCTATCGCAGCGCACGCACGTGATCATCGAGGACACGTTTACACGGAACCGCCAGCGTCTGCGCGCGCGCAGGTTCGTACGCACGACTTAGAGCCGCGGCCGCGACACTGCAATGAAATAAACTGATATATAACGAGGTTCAACAAGAAATGTTGTTTATGCAACTTAGTATAGCAAACAATGTGATAGTCCACTTGATGGAATGTGGTAACTAGGCATGATTAATACTGGTATCACTCCAATATCTATATATTGGATTCCTTTGGACAAGAGGGAGACTTTGTACAAAAGTCGATTGCTTGGGTACCTCTGTCCCATTCATGTTTCAACCGTAAAGCAGTTGCGTTTGCATGGCTGTGTTTCGGTTTGAATATATGGCGTGAATTTACTGAGTACGGAGGAATAACACCTGAGTCCTCAGGAATGGAAACGCATGGGAGGTATCATGGGCGAAATAGTATACTCTGTTATAACATTAGAGAAGTAACAGCTCAAACAATGTTTAAACGTAAGCTTAAAGATTGGCTGTTATGTAATGGGTTTTATACCATTAATGAATATTTCGCTAAAAAAACAATGGCACTTCACAACCTACACTAGAGATACCATTGAAGCTTCTGTTCTTATACACTAATTAATATCACAATTTGTTAAAATATTTTATTAATTTCGACAACCATTGTACAGGCTTTTATTTTCCGTTTACTGTAATGCATAATAATATATAATATGACAAAGGAAAGGAAATATAATGTAGAATATATATATATATATATATATATATATATATATATATATATAAATTTCTTATATTGATAAAATTTGCACACCGACATAGAGGCAGAATGTACACGGGAAATATAAACCTCTATCATCTAAAATTACCTGCATTCTAGCAAAATAAATTCATTTCATTTCATTTCATGTCTGTGGTACTGCTCATGTCTATAGGCGACGGTTACCACTTTCCATCAGGTGGGCCGTCAGCTTGCTTGTCATTCTAAGTTGTATAAAAAAAATATACTAAAGTAACAATTTGAACCAACAGTTATATGAATTTAACAATTAAATAGCGTCATTCAACATTCTCGTAAAATCGAAACTCTCCATTCAAAGTTCAACAAATTACAACACAAACGGAACTGGGGGTATCCTATTTTACATGAAACTTTGAAAAGCCTTCTAACAATTTCCATTGTTTTGCTTCAAATAGCCACAGAAGGTTTTCATTTATTTAAATAACTTCTAAAGAGTGGAAGTTATAAATTTGTCGGTATTGTCAATGACCATATCGTTGTTAAAACACGTGTATTTTGACAATTATATATATATATTTTTATAAACAACTTAGAATAATAATATATTTTTTAAAATCAGTTTATAAATGACGGAGTTATGAGGTAACAAACATAAAACAAGGTACAACCGAAGTGAGAATCTGAGTCCTCAGGAATAGCAACGCATGGGGGCTATCATCGGCGAAATAGTATACTCTGTTATGTCCATGATAATGCTCATGTCTATAGGCGACGGTTAACACTTTCCATCAGGTGGTCCATCAGCTTGTTTGCCATTCTAAGTTGTAGAAAAATATAAAGAAAATACCTCTGTCTTTTTAAAATTGCTTGAAAAAAAGCTTGTAAATAAATTTACTTGAATACTTATAGAGATTTCAGTGAGATAAGCAAAATACGCCGACATATCAAGTAAATGTTATTATTTAAAATCTCACAAGTAAATTTTACGAGAATATTAAATGGAATTACATCACATCCCATCAAATCTGATCAAAGGAGAAAGGGATCTAAATTTTTGGAAACACCTCACGTAATTAATCGGCGTTCCTTTATTGTGTTAAATCACGTCGAGCGACGCCGCGACAAACAGTTAATGGGAAATCAATTTTAGAATTTCTATTCCCATGGAAATTCTGTAATTCTTTCAGAATAAATTCAAGAACATTTTTTTTTAATTTATTTTCATAACAGACATTTTAATTGCTTGTCATCTTTCAGTGAAATAACCTTAATCTCTCTGTTATAAATTAAAATTGACGACCTTGTTGTTTCTTTAATGCATGATAATGGAATAGCAACCCTGCCTGTGCTTACGGTATACGCTGGCAAGACACCAGTGTGATATGATAGGTGAGAATGAAAAGGCAGCTTAGTTAGCCCATCGTAATGAATGTACCTGGAATTCATAAGGATGGTTTCCAGGGAGGAACCACGTGAAGGTCGACCTGACAGAGAGTTCACCCTCATATCATACAGCCTAAATGGTCGTGTACAACGCGGTTTCAGAGATGTTTTCTCCCACGAACACTCAGGTTATGGAATGAGCTCCCTGCCGAGGATTTCCCAAGAGACTACAGCATGGGGTTCTTTAAAAGGGGGGTAAAGAGGTTTCTTCAGGATTGGCAACACGCGCGTAGTACCTCTGGTATTGCAAGCGTTCATATGCTACGGTAACCGCTTGCTATCAGGTGGCCGTATGCTTGTTTGCCACCTCAGTGGTATAAAAAAAATGCTGTCCATCCCTCGACAGTTAAATTCCCTTAGTCGCCTCTTACGACACCTATGGGAAAAGAAGGGGTAGCCTACTCTATGCCGGGGTTACACAGTTCTTTTAAAAGTCACTTAAAATTATCCTTAATATCTCCTAATTACTTCATTTTATATAAATAAATACGTCTACACCTTGAAACTAATATATTATATCTCTTATTACTTATATATTTAATTACTAATGTCTCTAACTAAACAAATATAACCATGAGGAATTTTAATAACGCTTACCAACTAAGCAAACCCTTCAACTGGGTTTCTAATTAAACTCTATTTATACAGGCCAAGGATGAGAGCAGACAGTAGGAATTCATTACATACAACTGTCTGTTATAGGAGCAATTAAGTTAATTACAGATATAAATAACCGGCAAATAATTCCAAAAGTTATTTGTACGGAATCAATATTCTCTTTCCAGTGGGCACTTCACTAAGAAACCCTTCGAGTCGAGAATGTTATGAGCAAATTTTTTTTCTACTTATCCGATAAAAAATAATAACCGTCACGTTCACGTGAACAACACCATAGATGTGACACCACCATGACATCCAAGGTACACCTTATGCGTTGCCATAGCCGATTACCATGTTGTCTCCGTAGGTACCCTGTAATTTTGAGTCGGAGGTGTGGTGAGTGCGAAAGCGAACCCATGTCTCCGACATATGGCACCTCGAGGGTATATCGTCTGGTTTTTGGTGGGTACACCCCCACTTTACGGGGGGATTCCCACAGTACCCATTCACCTCCCACAAGGTGTATGGGTCTGCATAAAGCATTTTCCAGACGATAAAAAAAAAAGGTACCCTGTAATTTCACTGCCATATCCCACCCTCTAAACCGAAACACAGCCATGCGCACAACCGTTTCATAGCAAAAGGCATTCCTCCCTAGATGAAATAATCTCAAATATGTATATTATATTTATGTAAACGTTTTATTCATTCATGTTAAGTGTTTCGTATGAGAGTATTGAGTGTTGAGTAGTTATTAGTATGTATTATGTAATTAGCTACAATTGTTAATATAGAAATATGGATGTGTATTTATGTATGTATGTATATTCATATGTGTATATAATTCCAAAATTAACATAGTTACGCTATTGTATTTTTTTTAATGGGTGAAAATGATATGGTAACCCCGCCTGCACTAACGGGATACGCTGGCGGAGCATCAGTGAAGGGTGAAAGATGAGAATGAAAACAGGCCAGTTAGCCCATCATGATGAATTCATCAGGAAATAACATGATACTTTCCAGGGAGAACCATGATGAGATCGACCTGGTTAAGTATATTGTTAGCAATAGGATTCTCAGTCTCCATTACTAACAATCCCTTTCCCCCCACGTTATGGTATTAGGTTAGTACCTGTAGCGAACCAGTTTCACCCGGGTGAAAATTACATACATCTTCGGTGGAAGTAAGGTTCTTGAGTGGCGACCCCGTACGGGCAAACATAGTATAGGACCCTCCACTAGATGGAGTGACGACCTTAAATGATGGCTCAGGAACATCGCTTACAGCAGTCTATGAATGAAGCCTATATTCAGCAGTGGGCAGATAATGGCTGAGATGGTGATGATTAAAACCCTTCCGTACAAAAATATTTATATAACAATGACCCTATCAAAATTTAATGCATTGTTTATAAGAAACAAGCGGTGAAACAGACAGCGACTTTCTCATTTACTTATTCGTACTATTTAAAGAAGAACTCACAAACGTTTTGAAACTTTCAAAAATATTAGCATATTTTCAATTTCTTTGGCTAAAACTTGCTCTAACTTTTTAGAAGAGAAACAGAATTCTTCTTGTTTCAAGTTAATAAAACGTGCCTTGAGTTTTTGACATCGTTTCGATACTCCATTCTTGATTGATAGTAGTGTTTCCGAGCGAAGCGAACTTCGATCGCGTAAAATCCATTTTCGTCGTAAAGGACTATTCATATTACACTGAATTTCCATTAAATTTACGTCATGTACCTTTCTTTTCCCATGGGTGTTCTAAGAGGCGACTAAGGCATTTTAATAGTTGAGAGGTGGGCAGCAGTGTCCCTCTTAAAGCATCAATAATGGAAGGTGGGTGGACAGTTAACCGCTGTTATTTTTTCTCATGTAACTTAGAATGGCAATCAAGCTGACGGCTTACCTAATGGAAAGTGTTACCCATTGTCTATAGACATGAACACTGTCATGGACATAACAGAGTATCCTGTTTCGCCCATGATACCCCCCATGCATTGCCACTCCTGCGAGGACTAAAGTGTTATACTTCTGTACCCTGTAAAATGATATGATATGATGATAATCTATTATATATCATAAATAACACATATAAAGCGCCTATAGTAGTTTGTGTATGTTTGTATTTTGTGCATTGTTGTCAGGTTATTTATTTGAAATTAGAAAAATTCTCCCACGACTAATTTATTTTGGATAATACAATGCTTTCACTTCATCTTCATTAACAGACTTATCAAATTGCTATGTTCTATTCTACTCACAGCATTATGCTACGCTTACGTAGCACCATGCTTTGA